GCTTTCTGCAGATGTAATAAACCCACAAGCCAGATAGCCTTGCATATCCTTGGAGTCTTTTCTTTTCTCCTGTCGGGTAAGTCTTGCTGAGTACAATTGAGTACTCAGGGTTTTATTTCCCCCTGTTGCAGGTGACAGGCGGATGTTAGAGCTGACTCTTGTGTGGGGATCCCTCCTGGTGGGCTCAGAGAGAATTTCTTTACGTTACGATCATAGTTTTATTTATAACTCTCACTAAATGTTTTTATAAATAGAAGCTTTATAATCTGTTGTCATAGTTTATATATCAATGCTGCATCATATCATGAATAGATATTTATTTCTGTTGTAAATCTGATCACATGTTTATACTCCGCTGTTAAATTAAATTGTTCATAACTCTGATAACATGATCATATTCCGCTATTATAAACAATAAATATTATACTCTGATGTTACATGGAAAGTGATGTAAGAAATGGCTAAAATGTTGTAAGCTTTATTCTCTCATTTGTGATCCTGATGGAAAAATGTAGATTTTTTTGTTCTCCCTTGGGGTGTGCTCGACGGAACTGCGTAATTTAGTGTTCCCCTTGAGTACTAGTGTCTAATGGAAGACAAGTACTCCTGGGAGGCATTAGATTAGGCAGTTCTGCCACACTGCTCAACCCACATAGTGAAGTAATCCATAGCAACCAAGACAAAATGATGTCCCTTTGATGATGGGGGATGAATTTCGCCAATAAAGTCTCAAACCGTTGGCACAAACTGAAATATTCTCAAACCGTTGGCACTCACTACTACAGAAAAAACTTATGCGAGGCGTTTGGGAATGGGCGGGCGGGAATTTCAACCGCCTCGGTTAATGCCTAGGATTAACCAAGGTGGGCATTTTTATTAACCGAGGCGGTCACAATCAACCACCTCGCAAAATTGATTTACGAAGGCATCCTAAAATCTATTAACTGAGGTGAGCCTCATCCAAAAATACCCCCATTTTTGGAGGCGGATCTCTTAAGGCCCGCCTCGGTTAATATTCCCCAAGCCCAGCAGGCCCAGGCGAGGCCCGATAGACATTTCGAGTATAAATACAGGAATTAGGTTTTTTCACTCACTTCCCATCCCTCCCCTCTCCCTCTCCACTCAGCCGACTTCCTCTCTAGAGCGGAGCGGCGGTCCCTTCCTCCTCTAGTCCCACACCCTCTCCCCCATGGCACCCCTTCCTCTCCCTCCCCTCCACCTCCGGACCCGCGCCCCCTCTGGCACCACACGAGCGCGCGAGGCCGAGGTGGCGGCGTGGAGGCCCTCCCGGCGGCGTGAGGGGCGGCCACGGTGCGGCCTTGTCCAAGAGGCGTGCGATGGCGGCCACGGCGCGGCCCCTTCCCAGCGACGCGAGGTGACGGCCATGGCTCGGCCTCTCCCCGGCGGCGCGAGGGGCGGCCACGGCGCGGGCCCCTCCCGGTGGCGCGAGGGACGGCCACGGGCGGCCCCTTCCCGACGACACACGGTGACGGCCACGGCGCGGCCCTTTCCCGACAGCGGCGCCGGGCGCCATGGCGCGGCCCCTTCCCAGGTGGCGTGGATCTGGGCGAGGAGCTCCTCACTCTCCCTCAAGCTCCTCCGACGGCGTGGATCTGGGCGAGGAGTGCCTAGATCTGGCGGCGGGGAGCATGCGGCCGCAAATCCTAGCGGTGGCGGCGCGTGGATGGGCTCGGCGGGCCCGTGGATGGGCTCGCTGGGCTTGTCCACGAGCTTTCTTATTTTTTTGTTTTTTATTTGATTAACCGAGGCGGGCAGCCAACCGCCACCGTTAAAGGGCCGATTAACCATGACCTTTCGACGAAGGCAGTTGGAAAAACGGCCTCGGTTAATGCTTTTTGCCCACCTCGGTTAAGATTATTGTAATAGTGACTCTTCACAATCTGTGTAGTAACAAAAGCAATCAGCCATCATAGTAGGCCAATAAAAACCGGCTCTACGCAATAACCACTTCATCTTTGAAACCGATTGATGCGTACCACAAATATCTTCATGAACTTCTCCCATAGCCACTCTTGCTTAATCAAATCCCAAACAATTGAGTAGCAAGTCTTCGGCAGTTCTTCGGTAAAGTTCATCTTTGTGCAACATAAACTTGAATGCACTCCCCAAATACTTTTATCAACTTTAGCACTTAGCTCACGTAGATATCTCAATATGGGTGTTCCCCAATCATCCAAATCGGTCGCACCACTGCTGGAACTCAAAATAGGACGATTTGGGAGTTCATCGGACAAACCGGGCTGGCCAACCAGAGGGGAGTCAGCTTGGCCGGCTAGGGCACTTGGCCTAGCCGACCCAGTGACTTGGGCAATCAGCTTAGCCAACTTTGCTCCTCCTACACATAAAACAACAAAGTTTTTTTGCATCAAATTTTCTTTGTTGAACTAACATGTTGGCCTTATAATTTTCATGCCTTCATATATGCTGAATTCGGAATTCGGCAAAGAAAGCAATAATATCAAGGCACATATCAAGATAAGCATTGAGTGATCCCTCTAAGCATTGAAACTCACTAGCTACTTGTTGTACCACTGGCAGAGAATCACCAAAGGTATCAACACGTTTTACCTTCATAGAATACAATATTTCCAAGACGAATAAAAGAGCTTTATATTCGACTTGATTGTTAGTGCAATAGTAATTCAATCATCTTGACATCTCAAATTCATCACCACTGGGAGAAATAATGACTACGCCAACAAATTGGCCTTCTTTATAAGCTGATCCATCAAAATAAAGTTTCCATGGGTAGAAGTAAGGCATAATTGGCTGGCATATACTGCATTTGCCACTGGATCCAAATCTATTGTATATCGTGCATATATTGTCAGCTTGTTGCCCACGCAAAGCGCGGTTTACCTGCTAGTTTATATGAAAGCCAGCCAGCAGATCTGGTCCTTGATCCTTATCATCATTCTAGAAGTGGCTCTTGTGAGGATACGACTGACCTTTTAACTACTACCACGAACCAACCAGACACTAAACAAGAATAATGCAAGAATCACAAATCAAATCAAGAACCCTAGACACAAGAGAAACGAAGAATAGAAGATGATTACTGGTGAGAAGGCACCCGTTGGAGGAGATCGACGCCGGAGAGGAGAGGTCCACGTCACGGACACCCTCGCCGTCGCCGGCGTGTCGTGCTTCCACCAATACGCGTACATCACGTTGCGCCGCCGCCACTGCTTCACGTGTCCCTCGCTCCTTTTCGCAGCCTCGCGATGGGATCTCTTCCACGGTACTGGAGGCCAGGCTCCGTTACAGGTGGGGACGAGGGGAAAGACCAGAGTAGGACGGGTTACAACCCACACGAGGCTTAAATGAACAAACAATTAATAGTGTGCCGGGATTGCTTTCACGCCGGGGTGATCCATGGGGATTGGGCCCAAACCCGGCTGTTCCCGGCCCAAACGAACAAGGCCTTAATCAACGCTCCCACATCCCTAATAGTTGCGCGTGAATTCTTTCCTCTCCCTCCGTGACTCCACCATTCTCGTTTTAGGGCCATAAAAACAGCGGCTCCCTTAATCAACGCTTGCATGTCTATAACAGTTGCGGCACGCGAATTCTTTCCTCTCCTTTTGTGACTTCGCCTCTTCGTCTTCCTTTGAAGCATTTCCCTCTTCGTTTGCCTCGAGCTGTCGCTCCAGCCCATGCCCTAGCCTTTGTCACCGCCGCGCCCCCGACCAACGGCACTGCCCAGCCCCACCTTCCCTCCCCACCCCCGCCCTCCACTAATCCTAACCGGAGGATTCATCGACCTCCACTCTCCAACCCTTCCCCATCTGCCACCAGCCTCACCCACCACCAACAACCAATGGCACCTACCGCTGGCCACACCGCCCACCAATCGCCACCGTCAGCTAGCCTCGACCCTCCACTAATCTCAATCAAATAAGGATGAAGCGGACCTCTTGGCCCCAAGGCCATCCCCGCCCACTTGATCTCCCTCGTCGCCCACTTGGCGGCACCTTGTCGCCTCACTCTCCACCTATCAACCCACCAATTCGACTGCCGCCACCGAGCCCTCCTTCTAAGGCTATCGGGCGTGGAGAAAGCCCCCTAAAAACTTAAACCTAACAATCATCAGAGAGGAGGAAGACGAGTCATGCATGCAGAGAGGAGGGAGACGAGGCACACCTCAAAATCTGCCTGGTCCAATCTCAGGACAGCACGTGTCCAAGCACTACTTTCAGTAGCAGCGGCACGTGTCAAATAAGGATTGGTGCAAATGAGAGGTTTCCTGATAGCCAATTGGAGATGCTCACCAATCATTTCTTTGGGCGATGCTCATACCAGCCCTTGTAGTAGATAGCAAATAATTGAGCAGACCCAACAACGGCCCAAGCAAAACCTATAGAACAGGAGAACCGAAGCACCAGCTCGGTTGGTCAGCTGGCCGTGCACTCAAGGCTGCCCACCCGGGTTCTGAGTGCTGATACTCGCCGGGTGCCTCACCTAGGGGATTTATTCCCTATTAATAATTCCAGTTGCCTCAGCACGGATGAGCCACCATTGTCATATCTCTTAGCCGTGTACTCTTAGTCCTAGATATAGGTTATAGATCTAACTTGCATACTAGAGGTGTAAGTGTGTTCAGGTGTGTGCGTGTAGTGTGCGTTGGTACATGAGTCCAGATACTACAGCTTGTACTCAAAGGTTGAGGCAATAAAAAAACCTATAGAACAGGAACAGGGTCTGGCATTCAGAAGTCGTATGCCAGAATTAGCAGGAGAGGAGACAAGCATAATGGACTCTTTTTTTTTTTTTTTTGCTCCATTTATATGTACATAAGATATTAAGGCTACAGAATACTGGTAAACAAACTTTAATTTCTTGAAAAGATGTAAACAATCGCTATCAATCTCAGAATCTACAAATCTCGCCCACTGCTTTCCAATAGGAAAAAAATTCCACGAATTTATATACTACGAGCAGAAGGTACCCCCATGGAACTTGTAAGCACCGGCTCATCTTTACAAGTTACCAGCCTTGTTGGACGCAGTTTTACTAGGCTTTGTTTTGGCAAGGCTAACAAGATCACTAAAGAGCGAATCTTCAGGTCTGCTTGGCCAGTTACGCTGCTGGAGGGAAGACGAGGCGGGTGTGCCATACAGACTGTTGTCTTGCGTCGAGAGGCCATTCATCCTCTGAGAAAGATCATTTGCACTGGCATATGCATATGCAGCATTAGGAACATAGTAGCCTCCAGGCTGCTGACCATAGCCATAGCCTGTCATCTGGCCACTAAACATCTGTTGCTGGTAGACATCTCCAGCCATTTGCTGGGGAAAAATGCCTACTGGTTGGTTGCCTTGCATTGGCGGATGCATTCCTCCATACTGTGTATTTTGTGTAGCATATGGTTGTTGAGCTAGTCCGGGCTGGAACTGCCCTCCTGGTTGTCCAGTTGGCATTAGATGCGATGGTAACACTTGCTGCCCAGGATGTGTAATTTGGACTGGCTGGGGTTGACTAACTCCAAATTGTGGCAGAGCTGACAACCCACCAGGATGATCAGCTTCTAATTGCTCAGTTTCTGCAGGCAGAGCTTCCCAGGGTGGTGGTGGAAGGTCGTTGCTTTGTTCATCTTGACCTGTCAAGGACCAATCGCCAATAGTTTGACTATCTGAGGACGAAAACTTCTACATGAAGAAACAAAAAATCTACATAGACGTACTTCACAAACAGAAAATTTAATCTGCTTGATGCTAAACTTTATCTTGTGCTTTGTCTAGCATTGAGGTAAATTGTGCTGATTTTGTTTTGTGGAACTTGCTTTAGAAATTTTAGAGTTTGGCTAATTGCTTTTCATTTAAAATACTAAGTTGTAAATGGAAACATTGCATCCCAAATTACCCAAAAAATGTATCACAGTTCTATGGCACAAAAGCTTGAAATGTTAGGAAATAAGAGAAGCATAGACACAGCAATTGTAATCTGATCCAGAAAAAAGTTAGGGAATAAAACAATTACCTAGCTCTGTTTTTAACACTTTAGGGACAAACTAATAGAACAAACAAAAATAATACTAAGATACTTGTACATACTAGAAGCTTAGATTAAAAGAGACAGTGTTAGTACCATAATTCGGTGCCTGCTGTGGTGGAATCATTCCATGGGCAAACTGCCCATTCCATGAACTTGCTGAGGCTAAGTTAGAGCCTTGATCATAGGGTGTCATTGTATCTGAATTTAAGCCATTAGCATATGGTGAAGGATGGTGTGGTGGAACAGGTTGCTGTGGAGCAGGATAGGCCTGTACTGATGGATTAGGATTTGTGTTAGATATAGAAGGTATGGTAGGGTTCTGGCTGGTGTTATTGATAGCATTGCTATCTGAAAACATGTCTAAAAGGTCTAAAGTACTGGGGCTTGAAGAAGCTGAAGCTGCAGGCTGAGTCACTAAAGGAACAAGAGCTTGGGAATGAACAGGTTCTGGTTTGAAGAACTCATCACCACTAAGTAAGTCAATATTTGGGGTAACAGCTGATTCTCCATGAGACTTTGAAGCACTTGATGATGGTGGTGCAGGAAGTGCTAACTGCTCAAATGGAGTCACACTACTGGCAACTTTAGCAGACCTGACAGGTTCATAGTGTTCATAGGAAAAGTCAGTCAAAGAATAATTCTAAGATACTCTTTCGAGGGTTACTAAACCCTCATCAGCTAAAGGATTATTTCAGCTAGAGTAACATGTGAGAAGGACACAACAGAACCTTTGGTCTGCCTCCTTTGTTGGCTCGGGCTTCGTTGGAGAACTGTCTGCACGGGACGGGACTGATTTCGGTTTTTCTACTCGAACGGCTATGCCAGCAGCAATTGCATCATGTTTTGCTAAAACACGCTGTAAATCATCATTCAATGAAAGGCCCTGACTTAATAGGTCCTCGTCCCTGTTGCCATTAAATGTATGGAAAGAATTAGAAACTATTCCACTCTTACATGAAAACAAGCACAGGAAATTCAAAGGATGATAGTAAAACATGTTTCGAATATCCAGTTCAAAGGAAGTAGAAGTAGAGCAAGGGTTTGTTTGCTCGATGACCCCAACTGGCCACACCTAAGCTCCGGCTGGCACAACATGCCGCAAGTTGTGGCACAGAAAAAGTATGCCAAAGGCAAAGGCAAGCTATATAACTATCTACACGAAACCCTGAAGCACCACAAACTTCTTGTGTCACGTTAGAGTTCAGTTAGCCAACCAAACAGAGGGCTAAAGAATGGCAAAGCTGCGGCAGGTGAGTTGTGGTGTGTTGCTGTTGGCAACCAAACACACCACCCTTAAAACATTCTCATACAGCCTGTGTGCTAAGCTGTGTCCATTTGGGCATGTAACTAGTAGTCGCTCAGTGAATATCAAGGTTTTGCATTGTTTGATGCTGCACAGTTCTTGGAACGATCGTTCTGACGTCGTGCTGTGCAGGCTGAGCGCTGCGTGCTCAGATGCGTTGGCACGTTTTTGTTTGATTTCAGTTCCATGGTTAAATCTCTGAACGCTTTTGTAATTTCATTGATGTAATGTAATAAAATTTGGGATTCCCGTTGTGGGAAAAAAAAAGTAGAGTAAAAACATTCAAACAGATCCAGCAAAGAATGCAGACCCCACAAAAGTCATGTGCATCATGTACAAAATGCTCTAATATACTCCGTCCATTCCAAATTGTAAGTCGTTTGGCTTTACTAGATACACACCTTTTACTATGTATCTACACAGCGTATATTTGGTGCAAAGCAAAAGCTATAACTAGAAAAGCTCTCACTTACAATTTGGAATGGAGGAAGTAGAAAAAAAATATATGGTGTAACGTGTAAACAAAGCATACTGCTTTCACAAAAAGTAGTTAATATTTTTACTATGGTCCATAATACATTATTATTAAAAAAAAGGGTTGTGTCAATTCCCATTCCAATAAGGATTTCAGCTGAACAAATTTTATTTCTCCTTGTTCAGTTCGGGTACACAAACATGAAAGAGTAGTTTGGTGGTTCAAATCCATATCCTAAGTTTCAACAATTAATTTCATTTCATTTGTATATATTTGTATATATACTGGTTGAAAAAGCATAACATGAAGCAGTGACTTACGACGTTGAGTTGACAAGTTGCACCACTCTTTGCTTGTATGAACGGCATTGGTCCACAAGGTCCACAATGACCTCCTGCCTTAGACCCTGCATGTTGACTACTATTTAGAAATCCAGGGATGACTAGAACTTATGGAACTGTATGGTCCAGTTGAACAATCTGGAACATGTCAACATACAATCCAGTTTTTAAGGAAAGAAATCCTCAAGGAAAATGGGAAGGTCATCTCATGATTTTACTAGACGTGTGTAATTACCGAGGTAGAAAATACCTCTCTGTTACCAGGATCAATAGCATTTAACATCTCTGCAAGAACATCCATGACCCCACGTGCATTCTGAATTTCTGTCAGGCTGGCAATAGAAAGACAACGTTATTTTGAAACTTCCTTTAGAAAGGAAATTCATCAAATAAACAAGGCATAGCTAATCATAACAATGATTCAATTATAACCTTATAGAATTGGTGCACAGAAGGGATGAGCTGCAATATATAGAAAGAAAATAGAAAAGCTATGGAAAGTTTATGCGATAGAAATAGAAATTCACAGTTTTTTTTCTTGAACACGCAGGAGGGCTGCGTATCATTATATTATAGAAGAAAAAGAGGGGAGAAGAGAAATTCACAGATTTGAACTGCCATAAAAAATATCCATGCATATTCTTGTATATTCTCATTAAGCCAGTCCTACCAATTTCAGAAATAATCTTAATTAATGGGAGCTGAAACTACAAATATTCTGCAAATGTAATCCCAATTATCTTAAAATCCTTTTGGTAGGCTGCACGATATTTAGGGAGAAGGAAGGCATGAGAACGCTCAATTTTGTCATAACTGTAATCCCATGATGATGCATATACTGCAATAGTTCTAACATCAATTCCATGGATATTAATATATGGGGTAAAGAAAAGCAAATGTACCTTAATGCAGGCACTTCAGGTGCAGAAGAGGATTCAGGCACATCTTGTCGATAATCAGTGTTACGCAATGCAGGAGGCGGATAGTTCCTTAGAGGCTGTGTCTGTGGAGGAGTATAGATTGGCACGGTACTCTCCGGCCTTTGAGGAAATACAGCTCCAGCACGCTGATAAATCAAATCAAAAGTACGATGAGTTCTTGCTATAAATACTAGGTAAAGTAATACTTTGAAGATGATGAAAATACCAGGTAAAGTAGCTAAACCAGGAAAATGTTCCATTTATTTGTGCTATTGCAATATTCCAGATGGTGAAACAAACACCACTTACTTTCTACTAGTAAACTTTTTGTTTGTTAGTACTTGACACCACATATAATGCTATAAAATATGGTCGAATTTATGCCAGAAAAACAAAATGTGACAACATTTACCAGCATCTCTTGATATGCTGCGTAATACTGGGGATATCTTGCACGGGCACCACCAAAAGCTTCTTGCCAAGTGTCTATCAGAATTAGTATCTTCTCCTTGACGTGATAGTCAGGCTACAGATCACACGAAATAACAGATGAGACGTTATTTCTATTACTGAATAGGGTTACTCGGAAAACACAAGCCCAGAAATTTGTTTGCCAAGGATTCAAATATGCATGTCCATGTCGAAGTGGCAGGTAAGAATGATACAGGAGAATATTAAAAGGCATTTGCACCTTCTTCTTAGCTATCTTCACCATTTCATGAAGTATATCCTTCTCAGCAACTTGCATATGAACAAAATCACCACAATTTTTAATCAAGGTCTCCAGCAACTGAAAAGGAAAAGGGAAACAGCAGTAGTAGCTTAGTACAAGCTTACTGAGTAAACTGTTGCCTGCTTTCAAGTATGAAGTATGAACAACAGCCCCAAACTATCAGATTAAATTTCAGAAACTAACATTGTTTGATTATGTATCTCTGGGAGAACGAGCGTATGATGAGACAGATCAAAGAGGATATACATAAGATAAAGCAGTAAAACAGGAAGCCTAAGGTTTTAGAGATAATAAACATAGTTACATTACATAGGACAATATGTTATCCCGGTGAATATTTTCTTGTCATGCAGTATCGTTTTTTACAATGCCAGAGAATTTTCTTGATGATAAAACAAAGAATAACAAAGTTACATTAATCGTTAAACAAACATGGTGTTTACCGATCTATATCTATCTATATCTATATCTATATCTCTTATAATCCTAAACCCCACTAACATTCTATCTCCACATGCAAGATGTCCACCTCAGCAGTCCACTAGCCACATGTAATTACAACTCACTAGCACATGCAATTGTGATATCCACGTCAGCGAGACACGTCATCCACTAACATACATTTAGCTGTCCACAACAAAGTGCCACATCATACACCAACATTAATTTATAGTAGTTTATCCCTTTATATAAGTAATTATATCCAGTCTAATTTCATTCTAAATCATTTGCAATTCCCGCAGCAACGAGCAGGGTACGCTTCTAGTTATCATTAATGCAAAAGCCTTAGAATACTACTGAATCATCCTTGATAATGCAAAATCCTTAGAACACAAGTAGATGCTGATTGTAGCCTCCACTAATGTCTTTTAGCTATAGCATATTTGTAGTCATTATTACACAATATGTTCTTAACAATTGACCTATTTAACTACCATCACAGTTTGCTGATCACACCTGTTACATCAGAATTTAAATGCTAGCCAAAGCCAACTAAATGAACTGAAATCATAACCAGAGCTAGAATTGATGTAATTACTATGGGATAAATGAGCCATTGATCGACTGATATAATGAAGTAAAGCTGAAAGATGCATGCAAATTTTCATCTTTATGAACATATATGCACAATAGAGAAGGCTACTCTGCCGGTCTGTACAACAACAACAACAACAAAGCCTTTAAGTCCCAAACAAGTTGGGGTAAGGCTACTCTGCCGGTCTGTACATGACAAAATGGCAACTGATGGTTCATGTGCAAACAGAAGATATCAAACCAATTGCAGAATGGTATTTACCGTTAATGCAAGAAGCTGGACCTTTGAGTTCTTGTGCCCAATCCGTTTCTTGATAGTCTTCACTGCATCTTTGGCTTGCCTATGTGAAATATGAAAGTATGAGAGAATAACCTGAACTACATCTTTGGCTTGACTATGAAATATTCACAAGATGCCACTAGGAAACATTACAGCTCCTCCCCACCCCAAACCTGAAAAAAAGCACACAATCTAACAGCAGAATAGGAGAAAATCATGCTCCATTCGAGTTACAGACTCCCTTTAGCTTTAGAAAATCAATGCTACCCACTCTCGTTTTCTATTGATTCACAAAGCATACACATAAAGCTTAACTTTTAGCAATAGATCAAGAATTCCATATCTCCCAGCTGTCACCATATAAGATTACAATGACACAGTTCCAGGAGAATAACAAGAACTCCATGGTTGCTCAAATATTGCATGTTTTGTTTCTACCACCCCATGCTTCTGCTTCCTATCATACTGCCATCTTTAGGTAGGGCCTGTTTAGCAGAGCTCCAGCTAGTTTCCCTAGCTCCAAAATTTTGTGGAGCTAGCAAGCTGGGGGTAGACCAGGGGTATTTGGGCAAGCCTTATCATTCCACTTTAGACTGAAATGACCTGAGACACTCTATCTGAGCCTACAAACTTCAAATCCGAGATGGGACTAGAATCCTGCCAAATAGCACTTCAGTCACTATACTGAGCACGTGATTGTTTGACTCGTAATCTCATATTCTTATAACCATTCAGATTAGTAACTCGTATTATCCAGAAGAAAATCTTTAGGTGTAATGAAGGAGACACTCTGTCATCAATAATAGTCAGTATGTGGTACCAGCTTTTTTTAATATTTATGGTCTATAAGTGAGGGCAGAAAGTGGACAAGCTCGCTCTTTCACTATAATGTCCAACATGCAGGATGCAGGCAGTGGTGGAGCCACGGCCCGGCCACCCCAGGCGGCTGGCCGGGTTCATCGATGAAGTTCAAAAGAAAATTTTTCTTTGTACTCCCTCTGTTCTAAATTGTAAGTCGCTTTGGCTTTTCTAGATTCATAGATTTTACTATGCATCTAGATATAACATACATCTAGATGCATAGCAAAAACTATGTACCTAGAAAAGCCAAAACAACCTGCAATCTGGAATGGAGGGAGTAAATAAAGATTGCCAGGGCTCCTAAAAGCTTCTAGCTCGGCCACTAGATGCAGGGTATGCCACAGCTCTCCCAGGAGCTGTTATTGAAATATTCGAAAGCCTGAATATTTAACCATAAATAAGGAGACAACAAACTTTGTTTCTTCACCTAGTGAAAACAAACCCCACGTTGCTTTATCCGATGAACAAAGTAATAGAACCACAACACAAAAAAGAACCTCGCCTGAGTTTGAGAGGGCCAACTGGACTGATCATCAACAACCCCCCGCTATTAAACCTACTTTACCGCAGAGCCTCAACCCAGCTGCCTATCCAAAAGAATGGCTACGATATCACCACAAAATTTCGCGGCACCACGGCCCCAATCACGCGCTGAGCCCCTAGCCAGTCGCCGCCGGCAGGTTAACAACGCGCGAAGGAAACGACAACCAAAAGGAGCGGGAGGAAAGGCGCTCACGAGGGGTCGTGGTTGAGGATGTCGCAGATCTCAAGGTTGAGAGACCAGTCGGGGCCGATGAGCGACTCGCTCGTCGCGCGCTCCACCAGCACCGATTGCGGCATCGCGCAATTATTCCTGCTTCTTGATCGGCGAAAGAGTAGGCGGCGGCGGAACCCTAGGCGGCGAGCTCCCCTTCTTCCTCCGCGTTTGTTTGGGCGGCGCCTTTCCGGTCGGTCAGAGAAAGCGGCGAGGACGAAAATAAAATTGCGCGATTTTTCTGGGTTCGAATCGTCTCGGATGTCCCGTCCCGTGTCCGTGCGAGGCCCACATCCAGAGACACGGGGATGACGAGATTTTCCAAAATTGGGGCCTTGTTTAGTTTACATCAAAATTCCAAGTTTTTCAGCACATCAATTTTTAGCTGCCCATCGAAATAACTAATTGCACATTAAAAATCACGAGATGAATCTTTTGAAGTGTTTTGGATGCCGCGTGGGATACCATACTATTCATCGCAATTGCCTTTAGTAAGGGGACTGCCCTCGCCACATTAAATTTGAACAAGTGTTTTATGCCGCGTGGGATACCATGTGCGCGTTGCCTTATAAGGGGAAAAAAATTATATATACCTCCTTGCGTGGTAACCGAACTCAATACATTTTAGAATGAGACTCTATATCATATCATTGATAGATATGAACTCAGTAAATTTTATGTCACGTCAAGAGACGACAACCGAACAAGGCAACATGCTAGTTAAAGTAGCGAGGAGCAGTAGACCTAGCTATTATAGATCAGGCTTTGATAGGAGGATAGACTCATGGGCTAAGCCCATTAGCAATTGTAACCCCCTTATATATACGAGGGACACACTTAATGAGAAGGCAAACAAGTTTAGGGTTAATCCCTTATCTCCTCTCTCCTTCCCTTTCTCCTCTCTCTCGTAGCCCTCTCTCTTCTTCTTCTTCTCGCGCCGCCTCTCTCTCCCTTTCTTCCTCGCCACCACCCCGAGAAAGCTCGCCACTTCTTCTTGTCAGGTGCCAACCTCAAGCCTTGCTAGCCATGCCAGCCATCATTGCCACTTGACTAGTCGCTATTGCCATACTTCGACCACCTTGACCACCGTAGCAGCAAAGGCGACCCTAGCTAGCCATCGACTTCCCTGTCAGCCACGAGGGTGATCAGGCGACTGACAACTGGTATCCGGAGCCACGTCGCAACATCTCTATGGAGGACATCCGCATCGTCATGGGCAAAGATGTTCAAAAAAAATTCCAATCTGAAGGACGAACAGAAGTATGTACCACCATCCAAGCGCACAATACTATCAATTCCCTCCATATCGCAGATCGCACTTCCTCCACCAGAACTAGTTCCGCCAATTCAGACAGTTCCACCAGAGGCTCCACCAGATCCAGAGCACAACAAAGACGTACAGAAAGGCAAACAGTATCATCCTCGCCGCCCGACAAACCACCATAAATTATCATTCTCGGAATATAATGGGAACGAGGAGCCGTCTCAATGATTGTACAAATGCAACAAATTTTTTATCACTCAGAACACAAAAGAGAACGAACAATGCATCTGGCAGCTTTTCACCAGCAAGGGGACGCCCTCACCTGGTTCATCAGATGGGAGCAGGAAGTTGGCCACCCAAATTAGCCCCATCACAACCATCTCGGCGATCTTACCAACACCCGCCATTTAGGTGAATTGGACAAATATACAAATCAATTTCTCCTCATGCTTACCAAGGTAATAGGCCTGTCAACTACTCAGCAAGTGATGCTATACACCACCAGATTAGCATCAACACTGTAGATAGACATTCAACTTCAACAACCCCCGAACTTGGAGACAGCAATGGCATTGGCTAGGAAATTTCAGCCCACAACTCCACCACAGCAGTCTGTTCAGCATAAACAGCCAGATGACCAGGATATACAAATCTCACTTAATGCGGTTACAGGAATCACCACAAGTCAGACAATGCAGGTTTAACTCTCAATCAATGGTCGTGACTTCCTAGCACTACTAGACTAAGGTTCAACCCACAGCAGTTGACCTCAACCTCTAGCGCACGTCTGCCCCAAGCTCTCTTAAAGTTGCACTTACAAATAGAGATCAAATTTCTAATGTGGGCATCTACAACAATTTACCGGTCCAGATCGACACAGAATCATTCATCATTGACTACTACAGCATCAAACTTGGAGGCTATGATTTTGTTTTAGGTGTCAATTGGTTAAGCTCACTCGAACCGATCATCTAGGATTTCAACAACCTCACTATGAAATTCTGGCGCAATGGACGCCGAATTATATGGACAAGCTTAAGCAAGTTACCACAACAACTACGCCTACACACACTGAGTGCCCCATAATCAATGGACAACCTCCTGTACACATTCTCATCACTCTTCAAGAAACCCCAAGGGTTACCCCCAAAACAGCGATATGACCACCGCATTCATCTCAAAGATCCAACCAAATCGACAGCTATTCGACCCTACCACTACCTGCAGATTCAAAAAAATATGAATTAGAAAAATAATGCCACAGTATGCTGACACATGGGATCATTAGATACAGTACCTCTCCATTCTCATCATCAGTACTACTTGTTAAAAAATAGGATGGATCATGGAGTTTCTGTGTTGACTACCGAGCTCTCAATAACAACACATTAAAAGATAAATTTCCCATCCCGATAATTGATGAACTACTCGATGAACTCGAAGGAGCTAAGTACTTCACCAAATTGATCTCAGATCAAGATACCATCAGGTACGCATGCACCCCGATGATATTGAGAAAATAACCTTTAGAACACAATACGACCACTTTGAATTCTTAGTCATGCCTTTTGGCCTGTGCAATGCTCTCTCCACCTTCCAAACTCTTATGAATGACATTCTTGGCCGTTACCTGTGGAAATTTATTTTGGTATTCTTCGACGACATATTGATTTACAGTAAAACTTGGGAAGAACATCTCCAACACATTCGGCAAGTACTGGCTCTCCTACAGGCTAATTCAGTATTCCTTAAGAAATCCAAATGTTCCTTTGGACAAACCCTATAGGCTATCTGGGACACATTATATCAGATCAAGGGGTTGTAGTTGACCCAGAAAAAATTAAAGCCATCACTTTTTGGCCTCAGCCTGTGACAGTTAAACAATTGAAAGGCTTTCTTGGACTTGCTGGCTATTACAGGAAATTCATCAAAAATTATGGTGCAATCGCCAAACCTCTAACAGACCTCCTCAAGAAGGACAATTTCCGCTCGACTAAGCTAGCACTGACATCATTCCAACAACTCAAACATGTCTTATCTACACCACCAGTCTTGCAGCTACCTGACTTCAACAAACCATTTTTGGTGGAATGCGACGCGTCTTCCATAGGTTTTGGAGCAGTACTTCATCAAGGAGACGGTCCAATAGCTTTCTTCAACCGCATGATTGCTCCCTGATATGCAAAATTAGTTGCATATGAAAGAGAATTAATTGGTTTGGTCATAGCAGTCAAGCATTGGCGACCCTACCTCTGGGGCGCACATTTCTTATCCGCTCCGGCCATTACAGTCTCAAATACATTCTAGATCAGCGCCTTTCAACAATCCCACAGCACCAATGGGTTAGTAAATTGTTGGGCTATGACTTCATAGTTAAGTATAAACCAGGCAAACAAAATACAGTGCCTGACGCCTTGTCTCGCCGAGATGCGACCAAGCCTTCATTGATGGCCTTATCAGAGATTACCTTTCCAATATTCGATCATCTCAAGGCTGAAATCACTACCAATAAAGAGGCAGGCAAGCTCACGCAGTCTATCAAAATAGAGCAACTCTCACCTGCGTGGACATTCGAGGATGGCCTCATCCTCTACAAACGACGGGTATATATTCCATCATCCTCACCTATCCTACAAGAAGTTCTCCACGCCATCCATAATTCTACACATGAGGGATCTGAGAAAACACTACATCGGTTTCGACAAACTTTTCATACCCCTCGAGCCAAACAAATAGTTCAACAGTTTGTTAGTGACTGCACAGTCTGCCAACGCAATAACAACAGAACGCCTCCACCCAGCTGGCCTCCTTCAACCACTACCAATACCAAAACAAATCTAGGAGGACATATCCATGGATTTTATTGAAGCATTACCTAAGGTCGAGGTAAATCTGTTATTCTCACTGTCGTGGATCGCCTTTCCAAATATGCACATTTCATCCCTCTGGCACATCCTAACTCAGCAACAACGGTGACTCACAAATTCTTCTCTGAGATAGACAGATTACATGGGCTACCAAAATCCATTGTTAGTGACAGGCATGTTGTCTTCACCAGCAAATTCTTGCAGGAACTATTTCGATTATCAGCAGTGAACTGCAGATGACATCAGCTTACCACCCACAATCAGATGGCCAATCAGAGATCGTCAACAAAATCATCACTATGTATCTGCGCTGCTTGACAGGAGACAGGCCCAAAGAATGGATCAGATGGTTTCCTTGGGCAGAATTTTGCTATAACATTGCTTATCATAAATCCATTCGCACTACACTATTCAAACTAGTCTATGGATGTGACCCTCCACAGTTGAAAACCTATAGCCCAAGTGATGTTGTTGTACCTTCAGTCGATGACTTACTAACAGAACATGACCAGTTCTGAAATAAACAAAGGTACGTCTCCAACAGTCCCAGGATTACTACAACAAATATTATGATAACAAGCACATAGATCGATCATTCCAAGTCGGCGATTGGGTGTGGCTTAAACTGATGGCCCGAGTAGCAGTGGGAATCTCCAACCTCCAGAAAAGGTACACCACCTTTAGAGCCAGGACAGGTGCCGACAATGCATGAAGGAGCTGTAGTTCCAGAACCCGACCTCATGCTTAAATCAAGATTACACCGGGGACAACTACATGTATTGATCAAGTGGAAGAACCAGCCGGCTGCAGAGTCCTCTTGGGAAGATGCTGAGCTCTTCTAGAAGCTATATCCCAAATTTTAGCTCAGAGGACGAGCTGATTCTTCAAGCGGGGAGAGATATCATGGTCAGTAAGACTTACGCTAGGAGACGACGACATAACAAGGTAACAGGCT